GAGTGAGAGGTGGGGGTTATCTGAGTCAGGGGCTTGAAGTTACACAACTTCAGTAGCCCCTGGGCCATCTCTATGGTGCCACTCCTGTCCTGTGCTGCACACTGTCGGGCACGGCCCTGGATGGCATTTAGATGGCACCAGCAACATCTGTGTCAGGAGCTGCCTCTCCGTTCATTTCCAGGGCTCGCCAAGCCCCTTCCTTTACATACTATGTTTAGTACATCCAGTCAAGTCACTCACTGCTGGGTGCCACTCTGTCTACATGACTTTGCTTGTCTCTGCTCCAGGTCCTTTCAGAGGATAATTTATTTCCCTCTTTTCTGAGTGCAGCTGGGGAGTGACACTCAGTGCATGGTTACCTCCCCTTAACCTTATGTGGAACACCCAGGGGAAGCAGAGGAAGATCCTGGACATTGTGTACTAGCAGGAGGTTGTGTACTAGCTGGAGAGGTGAGCCCTTGGGTCAGCCTTTGACCTAGTGGAGAGGAGACAGAGTGATGGGCTGGGGTGGGTGGAGCAGAGGGATAGAGGGAGGAGCTGGGGGAATGGAGACAATATTTGGGCAAAGGTAAGGAGGGAGGCAGGGCTGCCTTTTCTGATAGTTTGCAGAGGTAGTCGGAACCCCACCTGCTTTTCCAAATGTATCTCTAGCACCCAAAAGTGCCTGACACACAGTTGCTCAACAAATCTGGGAGAAGAGCAGAGATCAAAGAAACCAACTCACTTGAGTAGAGGAGTCATTCTGAAGTGGAATCTGGTGTTATGGAGTCCTGAGTCAATGGAAAGAATAATAGAAGGTGGAGTTGTGCGATCTGATATGTGACTTGGAGCAGGTCAGTTAACCTCTCTGAGCTCGGTTTCCTCACGTTTAAAATAAGGCTGGTAACACTTACACATCCAGGATTACTGTGGAACGCAAGCATTATAGTGAGTGGGAACCTGGCTGCTCTGTAAAAGAAATGCACTCAAAGAAGGTGGTTGCAGTGACGATAAATCACCAGACTCCTTTGGCTATCCAAGGAGAAGCCGCTGTGCAAGGGAGTTGTGAGTCTGACTCTGTTGACCTCCCCATCTGCCACGCGAGATCATGGGTGAGCCTTCTGATGGGGCTGGCAGGGGCTGGAGAAGCAGGAGGGGTTTCTCACCTAAGGTGGGGCAGACTCGCCAAATTAGGAGAGCAAGCAGAGCTGAAAGCAGCATGGAAAGCTGAGTCCAACACGACAGAAGGGAGATTTCAAATAGGGCAATGAAAGGAATGCAGGAATTGGGGAACCACAGAGAATATGTCAAAATTAGTGTCCTGAATCTAAGCACGTGCCTGGAATAGAGTGACTGCCCATGGCTACTTTTTTGAAAGAACAAGTTCATTGAGATATGCAGTACCATTTAAAGGGCTCAATTCGATGCTTTTTATTATAGCCATAGTTACGCTTCCATCCCCTGCAGCCAATTTTAGAACATTTCATTATCACAAGAAGATAATCCACACTTGTTAGCCACAACTCTCCAATACTCCCAGCCCACCCTCATCCCTAGGCAACCGATAACCTACTTTCTATCTCTACACAGTAGAACCTCTGTAAATTGACCACCAAAAGGACTATAACAAACTGGTCAACACACAGAGGTGGTCAATATAAGGAACCAGGCCTCCTGTACTGACACATAGATGTAGTACATGTCTGGTCTATGAAAATTAGGTCAATTTAAGGTGGTGGCCAGTGTAGGGAGGTGGTCTACTATGGACGTTCTGCTGTAAGTTTGCCTACTCTGGACATTTCAGACAAATAGAACCATTTTCACGTGGCCTTTTGCATCTGGCTTCTTTCACTTAACCTATTTCCAAAGAGTACCTGCTGTTGCAGTATGTATCAGTACTTCATTTATTTTAACTGGTGAGTAACATTCCATTTTATGGAGATACCACGTGTTGTTAATTCCTGTGTCAGTTGACAGAATTCAATACCCAGCTGAGTTGTCATTAAGAGTGAAGGCACAATAAGTCTCTTTTGTTTGCCACATGTCAGTACTTTCAACCGGTTAAGACATGCCTGAGGCCTAGGCTGACGAAAAGACTGAAATTGTAATTGATTGTAAGCCAAGTTTCGTTC